ATATCCCGGTACAATTTTACCATTGCCTCATTTGACTGAATTTTAAGAAATTTAACTCAAACTGCAAAAAAAAAAATTTGTTTCCAAGCAAAATGCTTGCTTACAAATTACAGAATGAAACAACAGCATTGATACTTACTACCGGTAATTGACTCCCTAAGCTTAGTTTAAATAATTTCAGTGATACTTTTTATAGAAAACAAGCTTTTTATTATTGATAATTTTGAATAGACATTTCTTCAGAGTGCAGCATTTAGTGTGGCATAATTATGTGGACAAATTTCATTGAACATCAGCTTTCTAGCTATTTAGAACTATGTGTTTCAAGTATTAAAAGAATTTCCTTTTGAACTAAACATTTTGATTTATTTGTAAGCTTCGATTATTTTGATATACTTATTAGGATGAAACAAAATATGAAAAAAAATTATTTTGGATGTAAACTATGAGAAAACTATAACGTCATTGTTGATTATTGTAAATCATTCACTGATAAGTTGTTTTAATATTGTTACTAATATTCTGTTAACACTTTGGTATGGGTACATTGATTGGTGCTTTTCATTATTCTAAATTATCTTCCTTATAAAACAAAAGATTCTGTTACAATCTATATTTATATCTATGTGCAATTGTAAGAATTCTAAAGATTTGTAGTCAAGTGTAAACTGCCTTTTTTTAAAAAAAATATATGGATGGATAACTGAACAGGCATAACATTTTACTGTGGTGGTTCAGTAAATATATTAATGTTAGATTAAAGTTACATTTCAGGCAGGCTTTACCTCAAAGGGGAAGTGTTTGAATTTCATGTAAACAAGGTATTTTACATGTGATGTAATGTGTATGTCAAAAGAAACCTATATCAAACAACCACACTTTAACTATATAATTTTCACAGTAAATTACAAATATTCCATTAGACATTAGCTGTGGTGATTCGCATGTTTCTTATGTATTTTAATATAAGTTCGTTGTAATATTATATGCATATGTATGACTGGGATTTGGGCATTCTGATGGGAACTTGGCAGATATCCTCTACCCATGGTTATGTGTTGTTGCTAGAAACCGTGGTAGATATCTTCCACTCTATACTACTTCATAAGACTGTGCCTCGATATTTTACTGTTTTCAAATATACAAATGATTCATATCTGTAAATATTGGCAAGTTAAATTATTAATCCTACAATTTACTATTATAATTATTAAATCATAATTTAAATCAATTACAAATAACTTTTTTTTTTGTATATTTTTTGTTGATATATTAACCATGTGATTTTGCTTTTTGTGTCGCATAAAAATGTAATGACCGGAAAGTCATAAATTTGTTTGTTCTTTTTGTCTGCTAAAATATTATCGAAAACAAGTTTTATTTTTCAAAAAAAAAAATGTTTTTGTAAAATTGACTACATTTATTCTACCCTTGTATACATGTTGCACTGTAATTCTTCTGGAAGAACAAAATCTTTATTTGTCAGAGTATATGTCAAGTATATGACACATTGTAGTCAGAACTGTAAATGACTATTGTTGTTTTTACAGACGTGTCGACATTTTGACTAATCACCTACTTTTATTTTTTCCGTTACTATTTACTGGTATCAGTGACATATTGATATCTTGACAGACATGCCACCTTGTTGAATAGCTGGGGATTTTGACTAATGCCTAACTTGTCATACTTTAAAAACAGACAGTTCTATTCAATGCAGACATTCTCTACTTAGATTGTAGGATAATGTTTCTATTCAAAGTCATACTGATGAAGAATCATTAAAAAGTGATGCAGAATTGCTTAGTACTTTTTTTTTAATTTTACTCAGTATGTGTTTTATGTATTTTACACAAATATAATTACCAGTATTTCTTCTAACAAAAAAAATCGTGCATTATAATGTATTTCTGAAAAGATTTTGTATGTACTTTACCGAAGTTAAAAGATTTTTGGGTCACCCAAACACGAGTGTCGTTAGTTACAAGAAAGGAAGTGCAATGGAAGGCGTTGTGGCTTGTAATGGATATACCTGTGTTTATAATGCCCCCCCCCCTAAACTGATAATACCCATTGAGTTATGTTTTACATAAAAATCACCCACACATGAAATAATATCCTCAACAATAAAGGGGATGAATATGAGTAACACTGTCTAAAAAAAACTTGCAATTTCAAAATCATATGTTCCAATGTTGGGTAACTCGTGTATGGTGCAACTGACATTGTCTCGGTATTGATTCATGCTGCAATCCACAACTGTCACAATTATGGGGTATGGAGATTTGTTTATTCAGCAAGATTGTGTGCCTTTATAAATAGTAGCTGTCCGTGAGTCAGCCTTCATTAGTGCAAAGCAATCATCTGCAAACGGAAATCACTATTGCACATCTGCAGGCCATCTATGACTACCAGCTGTT